ACACGTGGACCTTGTTATTGATTTGGTCCTTCCAAACCACCGTAGCATCTTCAGGCAGGTTTTGTGTGGTTTTGAAGGGCAGCTGGACAGACTCCACCCCCTCCTCCACCTCCACCTGACAGACTGAGAGGACAACGAACACAACATGAGCTGTACAAAGTGTGATTGTGATTCGTTACTGGTCAATATTAGAGCTACTACTTTCTTGTACGGAGGCCATTTTGGGCCTTACGTAACATCTGTTTTTAGTCTTGAATGTAGTTGAAACTTTTTTAATTTCCATTGTGATAAATAACAGTTAGAGAGTCATGCATTAAATGGAGCATCAAAGTAAAATTTTTTGCATTGATGTCAGGGCAGTCTGTTCTTAGTGACATACAAAGAAAAAAGTAAACAGTGGTTCAAACCTTTGGGTTTAAGCAGCAGTGGTTTTGCTCTGAAAATGTCTCCATTCCTCCAAACTTCACAGATGAAAGCTCCACCGTCACAGTCCGTGGGATGTTTCAGGGTCAGACTGAGGTCTCCAGTTTTCAGCAGGTCTTCATTCATCTTTGTTCGGTCTCTGTAAACCTGGTGCTGCTCTCTAAGCTGGTCAGAGCCATTCTGATACATGTGGACCATTCTGGATTTCCCGTCCTTCCAGACCACTATAGCGTCTTCAAGCAGACCTGTGGTATTGAAGGGCAGCTGGAGAGAGTCCACCCCATCCTCCACCTCCACTTGGGGGACTGAGAGGACATCAAACACAAAATTAAAAGTGATAACCAGATGAGCTTTTCACTGTTATCCACTTTCTTGAATACAAATGTAGAATAAACTGCTGAACCACTCCAAAACATTCATTTAGAAACAAAGAGAGAAGACGTCACACATACAAGGATAATTTCCGCAATACCGTCACAGACCTGAGGCAGAGGAGGGTATGGCGGAGACCATAGAGGGCTTATTGAAGGTAAGGGTGTTAGCACCCTCAACCCTAAGCCTGGTTCTGCCAGAGGTTTCTTCTTGTTAAAAGGGAGTTTTTCCTTCCCACTGTCGCCAAAGTGCTTGCTCATAGGGGGTCATATGA